TGAGGAAAAATTGCGACTTTGAGGTGTCAATCGCAACCCTTACGCACGAAATGGACGTTGGACGTCAAAAACTGAGGAAAAATTGCGATTTTACTGTGTGTAAAAGCTTCTGTGTGTAAAAGCGCCTGTGTGTAAAAGCGTGTGTTGTTGTAAAAGTTTGTGTGTTGTTAAAAGGTCTGTGTGTTAAAAAAGCGTCGTGTGTGTAAAGGCGTCTGTGTGTAAAAGCTTCTGTGTGTAAAAGCTTCTCTGTTTGTAAAATCTGTGTGTAAAAGCGTGTGTGTAAAAGCTCGGTGTGTAAAAGCGGGTCTGTGTGTAAAAGTGCAAAGCGTTTTGTGTAAAAGCAGCGCCTGTGTGTAAAAGTGTAAAAGCGTCTGTGTGTAAAAAGCTTCTGTGTGTAAAAAAAGCGTCGTCTGTGTGTAAAAGCGACTCTGTGTGTAAAAGGTCTGTCTGTGTAAAAGCGTAAAAGCTTCTGTGTGTAAAAGTCTGTGTGTAAAAGTGTCTGTTTGTAAAAGCGTCTGTGTGTAAAAGCGTCCCTTACGCACGAAATGGACGTTGGACGTCAAAAACTGACAAAAAATTGCAATTTTACTGTGTGTAAAAGCTTCTGTGTGTAAAAGGGTCTGTGTGTAAAGGAGTCTGTGTGTAAAAGCTTCTGTGTGTAAAAGCGTTTGTGCGTAAAAGCGTCTGTGTGTAAAGGAGTGTGTGTAAAAGCTTCTGTGTGTAAAAGCTTCTGTGTGTAAAAGCATTTGTGTGTAAAAGCCTCTGTGTGTAAAAGCGCCTGTGTGTAAAAGCTTCTGTGTGTAAAAGCGTCTGTGTGTAAAAGCGTCTGTGTGTAAAAGCGCAAAAGCGTTTGTGTGTAAAAGCGTCTGTGTGTAAAAGCGCCTGTGTGTAAAAGCTTCCGTGTGTAAAAGCGTCTGTGTGTAAAAGCGTCTGTGTGTAAAAGCGCCTGTGTGTAAAAGCTTCTGTGTGTAAAAGCCTCTGTGTGTGAAAGTGTTGTGTGTAAAAAGTTCTGTGTGTAAAAGCTTCTGTGTGTAAAAGTTCTGTGTGCAGATCCAACTTGCCTGCTGCTGCGCAGGGAGTCCTCCAGTCGCAGGAGACGGATCAGGAGAATTTGCCCGAGTGTCAGTTTCAGGTGCTCGCCGCACAGCACGCTCTCTGCCAGAGGTATTCGGATGCACAGCGTCCGATGATCAAGAAGGTAGTTCGAGTGGAGAATCAGAGGGCGACGGGAATGGTGTTTCCGATCGCTTGCCCTCATGAGGACCTGTTGTTCTCTGGCTTCGGTACCAAGCTGCGAGCCGCGGCAATCTTTCCCAGCTATGTCACTGTGTTGGTGCGGGCAGAAGATGAGGAAGCCAAGATCGTTGAGACGGGCACGGGGGACGACAAGGTCATCATGCTGCAGTATGAGAAGGTGGTGGCAGTGGAGGCGTCGTTTCCCAAGCATTTCCGGGTGGAGGCCTTTTGCCAATTGCAGCAGGCGATTCGCTTCAACATGTGTGATGGCAATGTGCATCTTGTCATCGGCAAGGTGACGGCGGAAGATGATGGCTCCGACATGGTTTTGGTTACGGGAAGAGTCTTCAAATTGCAATCGGAGGAACAGGTGAAAGCGATCATGGCCGAGCGTGCCGCCATCGCAGCTGTGCAGATGATTTCTTCGAAAAAAAGACACGCCGTCGACTTGGTTGAGGAAACGCCCTTGAAAGTGAAGAGTGCCAAGTGGTAGTTTTTTTTTGGCCAATGCAATATCATTGCTGACAGTGATGCTACAGGGACTGTCCGTGCATCACGCAGCGTGATTCTTTGCACCACGGCTTTTTTTATTTCAACCAGCGTGGTATTTCTGGCTAGGAAAGATCCATGCTGTGGAGGGTCGCAGAAAGTGTGTTGCGTCCTGAAATGTCTGTTAAACACAGAATTTTGACGGGCTTGATGCTTCAGGGACTGTCCGTGCATCGAGCGAAAAAGCAAGGCAAATGGTGCTATCCGTGCCATCATGATAAGCATTCGTTTGCGTGCTTTTGTTATTCTTTGTTTACAGTTTCACCGTACAGAGAAAGTCGTGCAACTGAGGTCACAGAGCAGTGTGTTGCGTCCTCAAAAATGGGGCGATGCGACTTTCTTTCAAAGGATGTCATCGACAGCATCATGGCATTCCACTGCAGCATGGCACCACTTTTGTAGAAGTATGCATAAATCAATGATATAACGTCTGTTTTTGACAGCATCATGGTACCGAGCTTTCTTTGGCTATTCACGCATAGGTTTGCCAGTGATTTGTTGATGGATGTTGCATTTCCGGCTTACATGTCCTAGATTTGTCTTTTTTGCTTTTTGTTATTGCCCTGTCCCTCGTTCCCTGTCTTTCCGTGCAAGATGGAGCCGGCAGATGAACACGCGTCGCCGAACTTGGCGGAGACACAGCCCATGTCGGTAGAGATTTGTTTTCGTTTGAGCATCTGGCCTCTCCAGCAGCTGAGTGCCCTTCCGGAGGTTCATTTTCTAGTCGACATGGACCCACGGGATGCCAGTGTCGATCTCTTATACCAAGAGCATGTACTGCAGTGGATGACTGTGGTGGATTTACTGGGCGACTTGGTTGGTCGCATAGAAACGCATCATGGAGGACGTTGTGTCACAAGAGACATTTGCATCGCAGCGGAAGGTCATCGCCGATTCGCGGCTCGTGAGAGTTTGACTATTCTTCGTGAGCTTGCGGATGAGAATTCTGTGGTCTCTCTTGTTGCTCGCCCTTCCAGCGTTGGTAAACAAATGCTGGCTCAATTCTGGCTTCCCAAGCTTGACGCAAAGCTGGCAGCTCCAGCGTTGGCCCGACTGGACTTGCATTGTTTCCAGGTGATTCTGGCTTGGATCTCACTTTGCGGGTGGTACAACCTATGCAGAGTGAATAGACAGTGGAGCCGCTGGCTTCGTGCAAACCCGACCTTTCGATCTGTGGTCTCGGATGCGCGTTGGGCCAAGGATCCCGAGTTGCTGGCCATCCAACGGGAGGTGCGAGCCAACGAGGAGTGATCTGTTAAACGCGGAATTTTTGACGGGCTCGATGCTACAGGGACTGTCCGTGCATCGAGCGAAATGCAATGAAAAGGATGTCTTCCGTGCCATCATGATAAGCATTCGTTTGCGCGCTTTTGTTATCCTTTGTTTACAGTTTCACCGTACAGAGAAAGTCGTGCAACTAAGGAAGGTCATCCACTGCATCGCGGTACCGAGCTTATTTGGTGAATTCTATGAGATTTTCGATATGAAAACTCGTGAACAGGTGAGATCATCGGCATTATGGTAAGGAGCATGTTTTTTCCGTATATGCTCGTACAGCAGTTTCTGTTACGCATGCCATGGAGGAGGGCTGGAAACAGCAGTGGTTCTACAGCATCATGGCATCGAGTTTCGGCTTGCAACTCAGTGTCCGACTTGGAAGTAAGTACTCAGCTAGATCTTAGCGCACCTCTGGTTGAAGGCATCGTTGCATGCTGTAACCGTAGATTAAAACAATGATCTGTAGTTGTGTTTGCATTGTTGTCGTTCGCGTGGCTTGCGGATGAATGACCTGTAGTTGTGCATTGCGGATCTGTTAAATTGCTTGAGTCGTGTTCAAGGTAGGAAACGTTTGTTCGATCACAGTGGCAGCCATGACCACTAGCGCTCGTGAGTGGAGAGCGGCGCGCGAAGAAGATATCAGGAAGGCTTACGCCGACAAAGAATGTTGGACTGACCTTGACCGCATTACCTGTTGGCACCCTTACTGTTTCGGGTCCATAGAGGAGTGGCCATTGGACGCTGCCGTGATCTGCAAACCTACGGATCGAGCGTCGGTGCTGCTTGGCAGCATCAAAGCGGCCTGCAGCTTGGAAGACATTTGCCAGGCTCTGTCGGTGAAGGTCACCGTGGTGGTGACCATGTGCGCAAATGAAATGGAGATTCGAGGCGCCCCAAAGGATTGGGCGCAGTATTTCCAGCAAGAAAATGTCTATCACGTCAAGTGTCATTTGGAAGACACGACATTGAAGCCGCCGCACCGTTGGGAGGAAAGAATCCCTGACTTGGTAGCTTCTTGTTTGGAACAGTGGAAAATTGTTTGTGGCCAACTCTGGAAACAGTCCATGCTGGCAGTGACCAGGGGCGAATCCATGCACGTGCTCTTTCATTGCTTTGGAGGCATCAATCGAAGCGCTGGGGCTTTATGTGCTTGGCTCGTCGTGGGTTACAACTACCCTGCAGAGGATGCCGTCCAGTTGCTGCTTAAGAAAAGACCTTCCTTGCGCCCTTGGCACAATCGCCCCTATGTCTTGGAGGCTTTGTGGCAGCTGGAAGGTTTGCGGGCCGAGTGGCACATGGAACTGAGCGCGGCGTGCACAAATTGATTTGCACCACTGTTCGCCTGGAGAAACTGTTCGTGGCGAACGTGGTAGATCAGTAGCCAACTGTTGTTTGTCTGTAAAAATTGTTCGATCCTGTAGGGACATCGAAGAAATGGAGTGCAACAGGTGTTATCTATGCCATCATGCTATCGAACTTGTTTTTGTGGAATCATTCACTGCGTACACAAACGAATTTGCACCACTGTTCGCCTGAGGAAACTGTTCGTGGCGAACGTGTGACATGAGTAGCCAAGTGTTGCTTCTCTGTAAGTATTGTTCGATCCTGTAGTGACATCCGAGAAATGCAGTGAAACAGGGTGTCGTCCAGGCCATCATGATATCGAACTTGTTTTGTGCCCGGAATCATTCACTGCGTTCACTTGTTGTTTTTTGGATACCAATTTTTAAACATTTCCAATCCAAAGCTGTGTTTGCGCACCTTTGTTTGGAAGTGAGGTCATACACGGCATCATGGTACCGGGCTTATTTGCTATGTCAAACTCCGGAGTCGTGTTTTCACGATGCGTTTCGCTGAATAGATGTGACGTTTGTAGGTCAAGCTGTGGTGGAAATATCGAAACCTTGCGCTTTCAACTAATACTTCTGTAGCCTGCATTAACAGCATGTCGCGCCTGGCAGCCGATTGCTTTACAGCTGCGGGGAGATTGCAATATACTTGTATTACATTCTGTTTTCAAATGAAGAAGCAAGAGATTGTACCCATTATGGGTCTTGGTGTTGAAGGATACCCGGCGGCAGCGCCCACATCGTTGGACATGACAGCAGTTAACAACAAACAAAATTTTGGTGCACAAACGTGTCGCATAAAGTATTTGGGGATTTAAATGTGGTCTGCCATGGCAGCGAATGCGGAGGGAATCCGTGCAAGGGCGGATGTCTTTGATGAACAAATTCTACGACACGTTCTTTCATTTGTGCCTGGGAGCTCTGAATTGGCTCCAAAATATTCTTTGCAACCAGAAACCGGACACTATCTGGTAAAAGCTGGTTGGCCAGTTGTTTTGAAGAAAATGTGTCATTGGAAGGAGGCAGACACCACCATCTGTATTTGCTGCGGTGCCAACCAAGAACCCGGCGATCCAAACGAGTCAGACGATAGCTGGACATCTCAGCAAATCTCTGCTGGCTGGGCAAAGATCATGACCGTGACAATACCACACTTTCGTCATCATCATCTGAAATATATCAAAAAAACAGTCAGAAGCATAGAACATGTTTGGAGGACAATGGCAGCCGAGAGATGTTACATCTGCGGGCACTGCAACGACTGCGTTGTGAATCTCGAGTATGAGCATCCTGCTGACTGGCTGGAAGATCTTTCTGCGTTCACAGAGATGCTGGAACTTAGGTCGTGTCCGTGGAGGTGCCCAGATAAAGATCGACCGCAGTAGCCGGATTGCTGCAGTAGTAAAAGCGGCAAACATGCCACATCTGCAGCATCATGGTACCGACCTTTGCTTGGACGCAGCTTGTGGGAGCTGGAAGGCTTGCGTACCGAGTGGCACTGAGTGCAACTGGCGCAAATTAATCTGTAGCACTGTTCGTCTGGAGAGACTGTTCGTGACGAACATGCAAAACCAGTATGTTCGTCTGGAGAGACTGTTCGTGACGAACATGCAAAACCAGTAGCCAACTGTTGTTTGTCTGTAAAGTTTTTTTTCCATCCTGTAGGGACATCGGAGAAATGCAGTGAAACAGGTGTTATCCTTGCCATCATGCTATCGAACTTGCTATCATTCACAGCATTCTTGCACGGAGTTCTAGTTTCTTACGGAGCCTTTGTTTGTGTACTTTTGCATTTTGTAGCATTTCCATTGCGACTATGTTTGCCCACCTTTGTTTGCAACTAAGGTCATCCACGGCATCAGGGAGCTGGAAGGCTTGCGTACCGAGTGGCACTGAGTGCAACTGGCGCAAATTAATCTGTAGCACTGTTCGTCTGGAGAGACTGTTCGTGACGAACATGCAAAACCAGTATGTTCGTCTGGAGAGACTGTTCGTGACGAACATGCAAAACCAGTAGCCAACTGTTGTTTGTCTGTAAAGTTTTTTTTCCATCCTGTAGGGACATCGGAGAAATGCAGTGAAACAGGTGTTATCCTTGCCATCATGATATCGAACTTGCTATCATTCACAGCATTCTTGCACGGAGTTCTAGTTTCTTACGGAGCCTTTGTTTGTGTACTTTTGCATTTTGTAGCATTTTCATTGCGACTATGTTTGCCCACCTTTGTTTGCAACTAAGGTCATCCACGGCATCATGGTGCCGAGCTTCTTTTGTATCTCAAAGGTCTTTGTGTGGAAATGCGTCTGACTCTCTCTCTCTCTCTTTATCTCTTCCCCCTCTTTCTCTCTGTGGTTGCAAGACACATGTCATCTGATGCCCTTTACCAAATATTCTCTTCTTGATCAATCTTACTTTTTTACATCATGTCTTTCCATAGCTCATATAAAATTCACCAATAAAATTCACCAACTATTCACCGACTATCTTTTACGACTACCATACTCAGAGCTGCTTGAAACACATCTTTTTCGCTCTCGGGCCAACCGTCGTCTAGTTCAAAAGCCTATCTTTGGTTTGCAGCCGTGGAGTGACAATTGAATAGCCCAACAAGAACAATGGGTTGATCAACACATAAAGTACAGCCAATAGGGGTATTAGGTTTAATGGGGATTGATAGTTGATTGATAGTTGGTTGATTGTTTGATTGATTGATGCAGTTTTATCCCTTTACCACTTAGAAGTACTAACAAAACCCCATTTATGGAATGTATAATCCCATAAATGGCCATAGCTGTAATTGATTGACAGTTGATTGATTGGGCCGCTTCTCCCCTCCCTTCCCTGCATGCGCCTCCCGGCGCAGCGGTGCCCGCGAAGCGCACCGCGACGTTCACCGCGCCAGCGTCGCCGTCCAGGGGCGCGGGGCCGAAGCGGCAGCAGCCGTGCTGCAATTCCTGGGAGGACAAGGTGTTGATTTAAGCCGTTTAAAGCTGGAAAAAATGGTGGAAATGGAGAAGTAAACTCAGTGGATTTTTCGAGCGATTCATCATGTTTTGAATGGATTTATGATGAATCAATGAATCAGTTGGTGAACCAGAACCATGATTGAACCATGAAACATGGAGGAAAATTCGGATGGAACTCATGGAACCAACAAAAAATGGGGATTGATATGTTGATTGATAGTTGATTTATCTGACTGATGCAAGCGCCATGTGGCTTTGAACAAATTTACCAGCAGGGGTCAATTTGTTTTTTTTCCAACTCGGAATGGGAGATGTATCTGCAGGTTATGGAGGTTATTAATAAAACAACTTGTAACTGGGGGGCACCACGCTGTAACAATTTAGTGTCATCATTGGTGGGTTTAGGATCTATGGTTTGGGAAAGTTTCCTAAGTGGGTTGCAACATTCAAACCGTTCCTCCGGATACCAGATAGGAGATAGATTTTGAATTTGGAAATTGAATTTGGGTATGAACTTTGGCCTTTTATAAATTCTACAATAATCCAAATCACTTGGAATTGGGCAACATATGTTCTTGAGCCAGTAAATCCCATATGCTCCATGGTGCTGGAATATGAATCCCAACATTTGCCCAACATAAATCACCCAGTCATGTAGGTGTGCTTATACCAGCACCATAGAGCAATAATTTAAATTAATGGGAGATATTTCAGAATCACCCCATTGTTTTCCTATGCTTTTCCTTTGTCTCCCTGGTTTTCCTATGAGCCAGCGGGTGCTACAGAGAAGCCTACGCTGGAGCCGCGCCTTAAGTTTTCTGTGGGATCCATGCAGCCAGCGAGACTCACATTTTTGACACCAAGGCCGAGAAGCCAGTACTTCTTCACCGGGGTCAAGATAAAAAAACAAAAAATGCATCATTGATAATAATATATAATAATTTAGATAGTACTAATCTTGTATCAACTATTATTAAACTTTTTTTTTGGAAGATCCAAGTACAGATCCGGGAAACGGGTTGATTGCCAGTTGAACGCGGGGAAACTCAGCGGATGATCGGAAAATCCATTGGAGAAATCATCACAAGTCATTCACTATCGAATTAGCTAAGTATCAGCCATTCACCAGTTGATTTCATTGTTTTAAATAAAGTTCCCAAGTATGAGCCATTCACCAGTTGCTGAGTTTTAGATAAAGTTGACTGAAATCCGGAGTCAGTCTGTGATTTTTAGGTAAGTATCAGCCATTCACTGACTTCAGAGATCAGTCAAATATAGCTAGGAATAGACAGAAAACGATGTTCAAGCACCAAAGCGGTCATTGCTTCGAAGGCTCAATTTTGGGAGCGAAATAAAAAGTGAAGCGGAAGCAATACACGTTGGATCTTGGTTAGAGCATTTCCTTCAGAGGATCTACCTATACGTGATTGATCTACCCTCTGGTTATCTAAGTTCAGTAAATCACCATGCTTAAGTTCAGTAAATCTGTAACGCTAAGTCTGTTGCAGAACGCTTTCGGGTCAGCAGGATCAAAAGCACACAGTTAAAGCCCTTTACCACTATTTTGATGGTTATAAATGGGGTCATTATTCCATGCATGGGGCTGTTTCACTACAACTGGTAGGTCACCTACGCGAATTTTGAGCTGGTCGGGACGTCATCCAATCATAGTTCAACCCGCAGTGGTCTGGCTGACCTCTTTGAGGATTGCCTACCCCAAAGGCCGTCTCGGGAATAGGCCACTCAACACATGGCTGGCCACTGGCGTCTCAAAACCCACCAGGAGATGTCTGGTTCCACATCTCAATAGCTGGTACTTGTGGATCTTCTTTTCCCCCTCAAAAGGTATGATATTTCATACGTTTTGATGAAAATTCCCGTGTGTTGTACAGTAGCCCAACATACCTGGACATATCTGGCGGATGGGCCATCGCTTCACAAACTTGGATGTGCATGATGTGTCTACACGCAAAACTTAAAGTCAAAGACTTCACACATTTGTATAATAATTATGCTTATAATGCTTATATACGTGTATATACATATATCATACATAAATACATGTGTGTGTGAACATGTAATAAAATGTATATAGTATTTAGTATCAATACTAAATGCCCCAATACTGTGTTGTACTGTGTTTATATGTATGTATACCACAAAGCGGATACACATGCCAGCTCCCTGTGCTGTTACCACCAAGCATCCGCTTCACACGCTGCCAAACAGGCAGACTCTGAAGCATTGCCTGTTGCGGGAGAAACCGTTACTTGGGAAATCAAGGGCGAGCTGGGAAAGCTTAATGATAATATGGTTGATCATTGACGGTTCATGTTCCATTGCTATAATGGACTAGCTGGCAATTTGTTCAAGCAAAATCTATAAATGGCTATGACTGCGAGGTTCAAATTGCCAAAGGTATTGAAATCTGCTCAGCGTTCAGTGTATATCTGCCACTGAAAAAATATGTCTGGTTTACCGGAGTTCTTGTTAGGGGTTTCCCAATCCATGAAAACGCTTTGGTCACATATAAATAGGCCTAAAAATTAGGGCTATTCTAGGGCTTTACCCCATGAAAACGCTTGAACCAATCCATGAAAACGGTCGATCTGGCTGGATCAAAAATAGAAGGATCAACGTCATCGGATGCCCCTGGATCATGAAACGTAACCGTCCGTGAAACGTCCGGTCAGTCGCGCTGGCGCTGGAAAATCCGTGGCATCAATTGAGGATTTCATTGAAATGATGAATGTTTAATGGAAAATCCGGATTTTCCCATTTAAACATTCGTTTTTTTTATTGTCCATTGCCCCCCTCCGATTGAGGTTTTAACGCCATTTTTCCAGACATGGCGTTTCCTGATTGGGGATATTGGGGATATTGGGGATAGTGGTGAATTTATCGTCAAAATTCATGGGTATAGAATGGTGATAATCATTATGATTACTATAACCCCTTTCATGATCATTATAATCATTATACATAACCATTTGATCACTACAATCACATTTATGATCGAATTTAATCCCCGTGATATCCCTATTATATCATATTATATCCCATTTATTCCAAGCAACCATATTCTTGTCCCATGGGATAAAATTGGGCATTGGTTGCGAGGCGGAGCTCAACCAAGTTCGATAGCCAAGTTGGCGCAACTTATCAGAGGTGAAATAAATTGCTATAGATAGACGTGTGCATATGACTAAATATGTATATGTATATGTATATGTATATGTATATGTATATAATATAATAAAATACAATACAATACAATACAATATAATATAATTTAACATAATATAATAATATATTTATTTATATATATGGTGTCTTAGTGGGGTCTATTTGCCAACAAATCATTATAACGGGGGAACGGTGAGCATGTCCAAATCCAAATGCTCTACAGAGCTGGACTGTTGTACAAGTCATGTGTAGTGATTTACACGGCTGAAACCAATTCACTCATTAGAAATGCTAACTTCAGCTTCATCGGCATATGAATATATATATATGAGAATATATATATATATATATACAGTTTATTATATGTGTATATATATACATACATTGTAACCTCTAAGAAAACAACTAACTATATCTCATTGACCACAATTTTGGATTGGATGTTACAAAAATTATTGAGTGGTTGCTATAAGCCCCCTAGTTCAAAATCATATACAAATATGATATGAATATGTGTGTGTCGATTCTCTATACCGCTAGAATAGCAAAATGCCCCTTGTTCTATAGGTATTTTTTCAAGTGTGTCAAAAACATCTTTGGGACTCTGCCCCTGCAAGGTGGGGTCTACTAGATAGCTAAATTAGTTTATAACCTGGCTATCTAGCCCCTATATATATATATATATTCATATGTATATATCTGGGTAAATTATAATATTTCACTAACCTGAATTAAGGCCATTTGGGGATGATTTCCCTTATAAACCATGATTTCCAGTGAGGTCGTAGTGAGTGAGATCATTATTATTATAATTTACCCAGATATGTATATATATATATATATACATATACCATGGGGACTATAAACCAACTTCTAACCACCTGACATTTTCAGAAAAAAAGCCAGGTGCCGCCTGCTGGAAGCATCTGCCATTCCAGCGCGCCGCAGTCACCCTTCCTGGTGCTGCTTTGAGGCTGGGACACCGATGGAAAAACACCTAATTTTAATGGCTGAATCAACGAACTAAATGGCCATGTAAAAAATCATTTTAATAGCTATGTTGGCAATATACAGTGGCTATCTATAATTAGATGTGTATATATATATATAGATGATAGCATCGTATATATTTACAATTTCAAGGCAGTTGTAGCCCTGAAAGCCAGTTACGGCCATGGGATGAAATAGGTCCTACAACTAGTTGGTGAAATATATCACTTCAATGCGGTCAGTTTGCCACTTATAACTGTGGCCATGACTGTAGAGACCCTATAGGGAGAACTAACACTTCGATGTAGAAAACCAATGGGTTCCGAAACTGATCTACTTTCATCGTGGGTCTTCCACATCGAACTGTCAGTTCACAGTTGGAGGCTAAAGTTCAAAAATTAGGGATCGATCTGATCGATCTGATCGATCGGAATTTATGGCCATTCTCTGAATAAAGACAAAGAGCATCCAATGATACATAAATTTCTGCTACGAGAAAAAAATGCTCGAGAGAACATGTTATTTTATATGTTATGATTTTCGCTCGTTTCAACAGAAAGTGCTCGAGGGGTTTTCCTAATCACCCAATAGGCCCAATACATCCCAATAGCCAGCCACATTTTTCCCTTTCAGGCTTTGCTTTCCTTCACACACAGACCCCTGCCAAACCGCATCAGCAACTTTGCGCTGCAGCGGAGGAATGGCCAGGCTCTCAGCTGTTGCCAATTTTCTGCTCAAAGTAACGGGCATATTTCATCAAACTTCGGGTCACAACTCTGTGTGCCACCATATTTCGGGAATTTAGCCTCCGCGCTACTCTGCAAACTCGGCCAATGAAATCTTCGTCACTCCAACAGCTGTAACCTATAGGTAGCAAAAGGTCATAGGCAAACAATAGATGATCAAGACTTAAGTTGGGAGAATACCCATGATATATGGTGCTCAAATTTTGTGGTAAGTGCTCACCAAAAGTTTGTTTTCTAATTTGGATCAAAGCACAGTGGGGATTGAGGATCATTGGGGCGCCAGTGTTCAGCTGGTCTTCCATGGATTTCCTTGCTGATTGACTGAGATGTGGCAGAAACACTGCAGGGGAAAAACATAAGGGTAAAATTGAAAACCTTGCCAAACCATCAAAGTGTCGGCACATGGGGATATATATGCACCTTTGGCCTCATTCGGAACAATGGCCACTTGCGATCAGAACTCAATCGTGCCAGGGCCGTGTAGCCTTCCTAGGTTTGACAACACCAGACATTTGAAGTATTTTGTATAAGCTCAAGCCCTTAGAGGGAGTAAAAAGGAAATATATTAACCATTCTTTCTGCAAGGATCAGCTGAATTGTACCCATGCTGCACAATGATTCGCGCAGTGTTCGCCAAAATCCAAATGCCTTCAGTGTGGATAATGTGGAAGAACTGGTTGGTGTTGGACATTGTCCACTTCAGAACTTGTAGGTAGTCCCGATCCCCAGCTTCCTGACATGCTCATGTGGGGTGCCCCCTAAGTAGGTCTTGGTCTTAGGGGATATATAGCCCTAGGATATAGCTAGCATGATATAGCTATGGAACTATAGGCGACCTGACATATATTCCCAGAAAGATGGTAAAAATCTTGCTGGATTCCCCAGCCCAAGTTCAACATGCTCAGGTCCTAGGAGATCAGGCTCTGCACCCAGCCACTTGCAAAGCAGCGCCGTGTCATGTGCCCGTCCGGTCCCCTTGGGGAACGTTCGCTTCAGCCTGGGCACAGCAGGGATAGCAGGTGGACAATAGGCAGAAACCTTAAGACAATTCCCCAAGGGTTTAAAAAAAACAAATAAACTTTTTCAAGTTTGTCCACGGAACACTTTGACTTTGAATGTCGCGTTTTCAAACCCTCTCACAGAAGAAGTGTAATGATGATCTGAACACCATCGATCAAATCTCTCAAATGCTTGGTCCAAGCGCTTTGGAAACCCATCATCCCCAAACACATGCATGCGGCAGAGCGCGTACAGACAGCTTGCTGCTAGATCCCCTCCAATCCCGATGTGGAACACATGCATCAGGTCAGGTTTGATGACATAAGGTGAATCACCACCAGGTATTGAGCGAAGAGGGGAAGGGCGACCTCTTTTGAATGGGGAAGGATTTGGATGTACAGTTCGAACCCGTCCAGTTGAGCTGACATTCCACCATTCCTGATCAGTAGTGGTCCCACAATGTGTGTATAAAGTTATAAAGGAGGAAAGAAGCATCAAAGATTCAAACTTCTAAAATTTACCTATAAAACTTAAAACCCCGGATTAATAAACCCCATTGCCATGGTTTATCAATTAGGGGTACTCCCCAAGTAGTGATATGTCCCTTTATAAATGGTACCCCCCCTAATTAAGCAGCCTAGGGGTTTATTAATCCAAGGTTGACATTACACATCTTAGGTTCCACTCCGTCACAAAGGTGACATATTCTTTTACTTGTGAAGCCAGTCTGAAGGGAATATGCCTTTCTCAACCACGGCCAGTCCCCCTTACAGGCGATATAGGCAGCAAAGAAGGTTTGACGGCGCCCATTGATCTTCAGGGGTGTCATGAAGAGGGGTTCCCCAACAGAAGCCATTTCGGGTCATAACCAAAGGGATTTTGATAACTGGGTACCCCTGGGGGACAACCAAGTTCACCGCCCCATTTGATTTGAAATGGCCATGGGTCCAAACTATCAACCCTAAAAATAATTGGCAGGGTTTCCCTTAGAAATAACCAGTGGGTGTTTTTTTTGACGAGTTTGACCCAACCACAAGCCTCCACCGTGACACCGCTTTCCAGCAGCTGTGTCAAATCATCAGCCAAGGCCCGAAGAATGGCATTGACGCTGGCATCCTTCTTGGCGTACCAGTTCGAAGGCAAGACAGTCGATAGAAGCCGGGTGGTGTAGGAGTGCCTTATGTCGACACGTCCCAAATTGAGACATGGCAGGCACACATGCTATATGGGGTATTTTGGGGAAAATGGGAAACCAAATTTCAAAAAGTTTATATATGGTCAAATCAGGGTACTTTGATGAGCTCAGGTGGTTCTCCCCAGAATATGGAATAATAACCTGATAGGCAATTACCAGTAGTGGAACTTTAGCCAATCCTCGTCCTTCATCCCCATGAATTGCAATCGGGATAGTGCAGCTACGCTCCTTCTGAGTTTTTTGGTAAACTGGATGGTCTGGCTGGCTCCATTCAAATCGTTCCCAAAAACGGGAGAAAATGTCCATATATGCATCTGGTCCATCACGTTCTGGGCAGATCCCTGCCAAAAAGAATTTGGGAAAGGTCACCAAAAGCGAAGCCATCCAATGAGATAGTAGAATGATCGGATGCTCAATTTCAATCTCCCTACGGCGACGTTTTCCGTGTTCTGTTCGTATCTTCAATCTGACTGGTATCTTGTATGAGGAGACATCCACCCCAAATGTTTTCCCATCTCGGTGGACGTACCGGTGAAAATCCCTGGCAGCATTCCTCCCTGTGCGGCCAGATTTGGATCTGCGGTAGCGAGCCAGCTTCTCAATCTTCGGGTCATGAACACCTGAGCAAACCAGTAATCAGGAATGCCCCAAACCTTTTGGCAATTTATATGGGTGATAAAAGTTTAAACATGAGGAATTCCCCAAACAATTTTTAATTTATGGGGCGTCCAAACATATGGGGATGCAACTGTATGATATGTGCAGGAACCCTTACTTAATTTAGTAGCTGATTAAGTTCAGACTGGGGACCCAATCGCTTCATCCTCTTTGAAGCCACAGATGCCAGTCGGAGCACTCCTCGGGCAGATGACACCTCAATTTCCGAAAACCATGCAGTTGACGAGATTATTGTGACCCCCCTGGTATATTGTTTATAGCATTCCATGTGTAATTCCATCTAGCACCCATTTAAGAGGGATACAATGGGATACTTTTAAATCTCTTGATTGTAATTCCATCTAGCCAAGTAGCGCCTTCCTCAGCATCTCGTAGGAAGGCATCAGCTAGATCAGAATCATCGCTGTCATCAGAACTGGTTGAAGCTCCTGGTCCACAGTCCCAACAAATGGAAATTGGAAATGCATATTGTTTGAAGGCGTCTGGAATTTGAAGATTACCATGTGACATACTGTTTATTTCTTGAGGGTTGGTTCCCTATGGGATAAGATGGGACAAGCAATCTTGACCACCAGTGCAGCACCAGGCCTGTTTCGTCACGTGCCGCTGGACCATCAAGGCCATCAAGGCCTGCGTGGGGAAACGGGCAATGTGCCAAGTGGCTAAGGTGTCCTGAAACAAGTGGCAAAACCTATAGAATACATAACTCCCAGCAAATTGTTCCCCAGATCAAACTCAGCATGTCTTGAGAAAGCTTCTGCATTTCAGCAAAAGTGAGAAACCCCGCAAATCAACTGCAGCTCACGTGTGGAAGGCACACGGCAGTAGGCTCTCTATGGGTGTGCAGCACGCAGCTGACCCTTTTGACAAAATCATATGATCTAATTCAGACTTGTATGAATTGATCTAATTCAGACTTGTTTTAGAAAATTGAAAACTAGGCTCTTGTTGGGCCGCCACTGTGGTCACAATCCGTTTCGACTGTTGTAGTCTACTTGGAACGTTTGGCCTTCTTACTCTTTCGAGCAGGTGCCTTGCTAGAATCTGTCTCAGCAACATCTGAATATTCTTTGGTTTTCTTACCCTTAGCGGTCTTCTTACCAACACTCTTGTCTTTCTTGTCTTTCTTGTCTTTGTCTTTCTTGTCCTTGCCCTTGCGGCTGGAGCCAGCAGGTGTGGACGTGGTGGTCTTCTCCGGCTTGATGTTCCTGAGGCAAGCTACGGAGTGGGATCAAGAGTGCCCCAGCATGAGGCAAGTCTTTTAAGGTAGGCCCAATGAAAGTGATTTTGATTGAGCTCAATTTATAAACCATGGATCAGTAAAGGTGAGGACAGCGCCCAATGAATATGCATTAAGTTGTGATTTTTTATCGGAACCCATCCCTATTGGCTCATATGATCATGACAAGAATCTTGCTGCGACTGAGATAATTGTTCAAGGTCACATCATCCTTAGTGATCGATGCAAAGAGCTGCATCACTGCCTTCTTGCTGTCCTCCAGGGTCCTGCATGGGCATATGTGAGCTTGATGCAACTTTGGGATTCTGGAATTAAACATATATTATATGCACAACATACTGGGACCCTTACACTGTTTGTGAAGTATCCATTGAAAGGAAGTCAGCTTGCTTCTGGTTGAGTTCGTCGTATTTGCCATTCATGGACTTGATCAGCTTCCCGATCTCATTGGCCATCCTAACATGACTGCTTGGCAGATTGATTTAACTGGAGGGGAATCCAATTCACATACAAGTTTCAAACATGTATGCCAAGAAAGGGGCTGGTCTGCACGTGGATTCTTCATTGCCGACAGCTTTTCCTGGTGGCAACCACACACGTAGCTAGGCTCTTTAGCTTATACCTAGGTAGGAATTTATATAGCATCATCTCTGTACATTTGTTTTTGCAATGTCCTGATGGGCTGTGGCCGCATCCACCTTCTTCCCAAGCACTTGGATGAACGTAGGAATGATCGTAAAAGGGGAATCATTCTTCTGAAGAGCAGGGAAAACATGCCTTAGTAATTATGAGGAACAACAGCGGTTGAATAGTGGTCATGTTTCTCAAACATGGGAAGCATGTGTTAAATGCTATCTTGAAACTTGCTGTTCCCGGAGGCCGCAGCAGCTGCAGCAGCTTGCTCCATCGTGGCGTCCGACGACTCAGCACCACCGACAGTGGATCCCTCCTCTGGGTTCAGCAGGCCTGTGGACTCCACCATGACACCATCAGCATCCTGCATTTCCGGGGCAATGATTTGACTATATCCATTGGCATAACCGAATGATTATTGGGTATTTCATCTAGCTGTAAATATGCTGAATGCAGGGTCCTCCACCAGACCATCAGCTCTTAGGCCCGTCATCTCCCCTTTCTCATTGTTATTCGCAAAGGAGTCTTCTAGCACTAGTTTTGCCTCTTCTTCACCGTGCACGGTGTTGTCACGAACTAAACCACGTGCCTTTGCCCAAGCAAATGACTTGTCAGCCATAGTCCTGCAAGAAGAATCATCAACTGGGAGACCAATATATATATATATGTGTGTTGAAACAAACAGAACACATATGATATATGATCATATAAAAATCAGTCCTTGTATATTTTTCCACATCCATCAGGTAAGCCTTTGTAACCCATCTTCCCCTTTGGCCATGGTGGTTCGTGACCTTGTTCCAACGGGAAATCTGAACCTCCACTTCCTTGAAACACCCGTGTTGTTCCAAAAGAGCTCGTAGCTTCTCACCTCAGACACCAAGCATTAACAATTTCTATAGGGTACATATTGGGTGAACAAGCTTAGTCAGTAATTAGATCTGATTTACAAAACCAAACCCCAAACAAGTTGCGACCCTTCTCTGTGGCATAAAGCTGTAGAACCTCCTTGGATGCTGTCACCTTGTTCTTGTACTTGGGGTCACAGTAGCGCTTCATCCTAAGAGTTGTGATTCCCAACATTAATTTAATAAGTATCAACCTGCATGGGGCTCACAAACGAATTGGATGTGTATTGCAAGTGCCAGCTAGTTTCTTGTGATAGTACTTATCAAATTTTGCTGTTCGGGTGGAAGTAGAGCTGGAAGGTGCGGCTGATCGTGCCATTGAAGTAGCCCGAGATGGTGATACCGATTTTTCAGCATGATCCCCATCTTCTTCCCCTTGGCTTTCAACCTCTTTGGGTGCGCTAACAAACCCATCTCCAGCCCTTGGGCTCTCAACAGCTTCGCAAGCAGGTTTGCCAGAAACCCCACCTTTGGCGTCAGGCTCCCCACCCACAACCAAAGACTCAGCAGAATCTTTCTTAGTCATGGCAGGTGACCCTTTGTTTGGCGGGTTCAGTGTGGGGTCAATTCTCCAATAGCTTTCAACCTGCATCTCCCTGGGTAGTGATCCTCCCGTCTCAGCCAACGATTTCACCAGATTTCCAGCCACAAAGGCCCCTGATGCCGATGCCATAGTTGGAGCACCTCCCAAAATAAAAGTGCTATATATGTGGGGCTGCACGGTGTATGGGACATATGTTGCTGAAAAAGACTATCAAAAGTATATATCAACCCTACATGGGATGTGCACATATGAGCCTGGTACCGCCAAGGTTGGACCTGGAGCAGGCCGAGGAGACAAACGCGCCAAGCGAGCTTGCATGGCAGCAATCTTAGCCCTGGATTCCTGAGCAGGTGGTTTGTGGCTAAAGGTGTTTGGGAATGTTTGGGGTATGGATAGGTCAAATCACACAAGGTGGCATTCTATACACTTCTAAACCTAGTCAAGAATCGTCAATTTGCAAGACAAGTGAGGTGCTGATTGGCTTCTCCATGGTTTCCGGTGGGCAAGTCATAGCGCACCCCTTTGCTAAAGTATCACAAGATCCTAAGATGCCTGACCTCGACATTGGCTTGACCCGAACCTATGCATAGAGGGTCAATTTCTGAGCAATTCAGACTGTTTCAAGTGACACATGTCAGAACAGCAAAAACCATTTGATACACTTTCTGAATTTTCGGCTTTTTGCGCTTTTTTGCGGAAATTTTCGGCTTTTTTGCACGAATTTTCATCCGAACAGATTTCAAGAAATCCGATATAATTCGTAAATTTGCACTTTCGGGCATTCAGACCCAATTGTAGCCAAAGTGGTGCTCTACGAAGTGCCTATTGCACATTCTGGTTGTACTCGAACCGTTCCTGCTCAGAGACACATACCTGGGCTGAAGTACAGGCATATATATGGGAACCTGTATGAACTCCAAATCGAACTATGATCCAGATCTTCAAACCATGGTTTTTTTGGGGGGTACAAAGATATCCAATTTAAACGTCTAGGAACAACTTGGCTAAGCTCTGCATTGAACTGCTTCATTGTATGGAGCCACGAGTCTGGGATCTCCACATGCTTGCAGTCCCACAAGTACTTGAAGACATGGTGAATACCACTTTCCACCCATGGGTCTCCAAGTGGGATATTCTCAAACAGTTCTTTATCTGTTTGGGTCAGGTCAACTTTGGGCCGGTGTCGCAAATGCTGCATGGGGAGTTCCCTGCGGCCTTGCCATAAGGTCATAAGCCGACGAACGAAGCCATCAGGATAGCACCTGGCAAGGCTTGCCCAGGAATGGAGCCAGGATGGATCAGGGAAAAACTGTTGGACAATGATTGAACAATGATGAACATACCTAAGGGCTCGACGCAGTTTTTTTCAAATCGGAAGTCCCCACAAACTTCTTTTCGCCAGCCTTGTTGTGGTACTTACCTTAACAAATCATTTGAAATCATTCCAGATTAGCTAAATTATCAAGCTGCAACAGCATGTGTTTGTGCTTCGGTGACAAATTTCCACTTGGGTTGATCTCCCCAAAAAGGCCACCACAAGTCAACATATCATATACCCCATATTTTTGGTTGCCTTTTTTATTTACTTGTGGTGTGCTTTTGTGGAGACCAACCCAAGTGGAAAATTAGCATGCTTGGGCCCTCACGGACTGGCTGAAGCATGGTTCTTTCTTCACGAACAGTCTTTTTCAAAGGCCCCATGTCAAGCCCATGAATAAAGGCAGCATTTGAATACACAACTGTTGGCTTGCTCGTCGGAGATCCAAGCAACATCATCCAAAATCGTTGATTGTAAACCTAGGCAGAAGGATTAGGGACCCCAAAATGGTTGATGTGGGCCAGAGGATGGTAGGGGCCATGACCAACCTCCATCATGGTGGATTTCAAGAGAGTAAATCACCAGCCTATATTTCAGAGGGAACTACCATGGTCATGATGATTCCAATTAAATGGTACCAGACGAATTGGGTTCATTTATCCCGAGGTTTCCCTGAACTATACACTACACCAGGACCCTTTTGGGAGCTAGCTGAAAAGGTCCAGGGACATAGCAGACTTCATTGCAGAACCACTCCCAGCGATGATGTCGTTTCAACAATGTGGAAGCAGGCTGTTCCAGCACAAAGTAGCAATGTTTTGCGAGTATCAAAAGGCAGACTAGTGTTAGCCTTAGTGTCATTTGTTTCCCATTCCAAAAAATGAAAAATACCCCATCAGCCAATTGCCAAAACAAACAGCAACGAAAAAGGTATCAAACATCCAACAAGAGTCCTTGATATTGTGGCATTTCCTTGAGAAACAAAATCAAAATGCATAGCCCCAAAGGCATTGATGAAATTTCTGTTGCTGGTGCCCCGGGCTGGTAGGCCCCATGACTTGCAATCGGGCCCCATCAGGTTCATTGCCTCTTCAATCTCGCAGAGTACCGTGTGAAGGACAAGCCTGAGAGGCCAGCAGGGGACCTAGCTTCTAGACCTATGGTGGGGAAATGAAACAACTGGTTTGGACTACCATCTTCAAATATAAAACATATGCATATAATATGTTGAGCCAGCAAACAAGAATCCTGCCGAACTTAAAAAGTTCATGGTTCGCTCCCCTGGTGTGAAGATTTCGTCGATCTTGGCGCTGGAATATCCCTCGGATGTCCTTAGAGGGACACTGTATGTGTTTGTGAGAGGAGTAGTCACATGTATGCAGCAACCCTTGGAAGGATCGACAATCAATAGGATGCAGTTTTAGTGGATGCATATTTGGGCCAACCCCTCGCAAACTTGTTTGGGTATATTATATTCCAAAAGCTTAGGCTCCATGTAGTGTATCCTTGAGCACATCCTGCAAATAGATCCAGGAACTCAAACCGGGGTTTGATCTCCGGTAGACTCCGGCACCAAATTAACAGCAAGACCACTCCAATCAGCACCTAGGCGGGGTTTGGATGTATCACGACAATTTCAAGGTGTTTATATCCAATATGTCTCCATAGAAATCCTGATTTGTTTGCAATCTTAGTAGCCCACCTTTGGAGCACAAACATGGAGAAGGTTTACCACAAGTGACTCCATGATGGACAGCAGGTTTTTTTTGAACCCCTCTGAAAGCCACCAAAAGCTATGGTGAACAATCATGCAGCTGCAACCCTACCAGCTCCCCCAGCTGAATGACATGCAAATACATTTGTGGTCAACACTGGGCAAGCATGGTGGGAAACGACCTCCAAGGCTGGCCAATCGAATTGCCCAGCCCTCCAGCAAGGGCATCGTTCACCTGCGGGCGGGAGTCTCAGGGTACCAGTGGCATGTTTTGCAGGAGATGGCCATTGGATCTAGGGCACCAAAATTGTTCAAAAAAAATCCCTGCATGATTTCCACGAGATTACCATTATCATTCACGGATCATAGTTGGCCTGTCTGAAAAAAAAAGCTGCGCATTGTTTTCCCCATCGTTCCCCAAGCTAGTCACGTGATCCGGTGTCACTATCGATTTGACCTGTATGGATGCAGCTGAGCAATCCGTGGTCCTTGGGACACACCCACGTGAGTAAAACCCAACCAACCAGCATTTCAGCTAGCCCGCACGAAGAAACTGAGCGTTCACTCTGTGGCTTTGTAGGCCTTGGATGGACAAAGGAACCATATTCTATGCCATATTGGGTTTTCAAAATATAAACCATGGGATGTATGTGGCCAGGGTTCTTTCTAAAAAATATATTAACGTACATATATATGGGGGATAGATCACATAAGTGCGCATCGGAAAATGTGCAAGCATATATGGCATATGTATCTAGTGCAGCCACAAGTGCGGCTTTTCCCTTCTCCACTGCTTCTTCTGGTGTGCTGCCAGCCTGCAAAGCCGACTTTCTGGCCCTGTGGTAGGCTGCAGACTTGCGCGAGTACTTGGCTTTCTTCTCTCTGAGTGCCTTCTCTTCTGGGGTCTCTTCAAGATCCTTTTCCTCTGTCTCCTTTGTCTTCTTCTTTGGGGCCTTCTTAGATCTTGATCCTGATGCCTCATCCTTCTTGGCCTTTGCCTTCCTCCTCTTTCCTTCTGGGGGTGGCGAATCTGCCGTCTCTGCCTTCTTGCTGCCTGTGGCCTTTGCAGCACGGGGTTTCCTGGTCTTCAAAGTCTCAGTCTCTGCCTTGCATGTCTTCTCCTCAGCCTTCTCTTCGGGGGGGGTTGCTGCTTTCCTCTTTCTGGCCTTTCCAAGCTCCTTAGTTTCTGGCTCCTCAGTTTCTGCACCTTTCTCACCTTCTCCCTTCTTTGCCCGTCTCCTCTTGGCCCCAGTAGTCGTCTTCTCAACCACTGGCTTCTCTGTCTCTCCTGCAACTGTCTCCTCATCCTTCTTCTCCTTCATCGTGTCCTTCCCTTTTGGAACCTTCTCTGTTGTCTTTCTCTTGGCAACCTTGGCAGTCTTTTCAACTGTTGTCTTCTTTCCCTTCTTTGCTTCGCCTTTCTTGCTACCTTTCCCTGCACGTCTCTTTCTGGTCTGCCTGGTGTTCTTTGACTTTGTATCTTCTTCATCCTCCTTCTCCTCATCTTCTTCATCCTCCTTCTCCTCATCTTCTTCATCCTCCTCCTTCTCCTCATCTACCTCTTCCCCATCAGTGCTCTCATCTTCTGAGTCTGAGTCTTTTTGCTCCCTTTGCCCCGGCCCCGGCCCCGCCCCTTACCTTTCCCTTTGCCTGCTGCTTTGTTGATCACCTTGCTCTGCTCTGCTGCTGACAAAGGTGTCACAGTGTCCAGGACAGGGGGTCTGTCATCGGTCTTGGGCATGCTTTGCTCTACTGCTGACGAAGGTGTCACAGTGTCCGGGACTGGGGGTCTGTCATCGGTCTTGGGCATGGAACTTTCAAGTGATGCTAACGCTTTGTTGGTATCACCGTCATATGCCAAAAGTGCTGCAACTGCTTTGTCTTTGCTAACACCTGTGTCCATGACCATCCGGATCAGAGCAGGGTTCAAGTCTTTGGGATCCAGATCTGGTTTTGGGGATGTTGGTGCTGCTGATGCCTGGTGGGATGTGGGTGGTGCTGATGCCTGGTCAGCTTCCCTGGACTCCTCTCCCAACACCAGAGTTGGCTCAAGCTTGGCACACACGCTTGCAAACCTCTTTGGAGTCTCGGTAGGCAAAGGCTCCTGCAAGCATGCGGTATGCAAATGGATATATTTCTATACATATGTGGGTTATGGGCGCATAGTTCTTAAACAACTTATTGGACTGACAGTCACAGTACGATGGTGGCTAATTTGTTGAAGGCCTTTGCAACATGGATGGGAAAAAATCATTTGCGTACACATATGTGATCCAGTCCGGATCTTTGAAGTCTGAAGCTTCCATCGCCAAGGTCGCTTCGTAGGGCAACGTGTCGACAAGGTCATGACCTGGGTTGGCTTGGGGGAATGCCGGAAAGGTTCTGTTTATGTTTTTCTGGATGGGACATACCCTAAATTGGAGCAATGGGAATGGGAAGCCACTACCATAAATAGTGCCAACTACTACTTGTGATCATCCATATAGCTATGCAACTGTTAACATTTGATATGTTGACCAGGCAACACTGAGAGCAACCAAGAAACAAACAGAGGGAGCAAGTTTGCTTGAAGCAGGGATGGTCGAATTCAGGAACGAAGCCCTTTCCTGAGATTCCTTTTCCTGGGCAGCCTGCAATTCAAATAAATTGAGTTCTTCCTCCAAAATCATCTCTTCTAGCTGGAGTCGTTGAAGCTCTTCTACTAACAAGACTTCTTCAGATACCGGTTCAACGGTCAAGGGAAAGTCTTGAGCATCAGGGATTTCTGGGAGGTCTTCGGCACCATGAGCCACCCGAAAAGATTTGCCAGTGGAGGTTTCGATCGCCCACAATTTCTTGGGGGATCCTTTAAAGATGCCATGCAATTCATCAATCCATTTGGGTGAAAATGACAGCTGACGTTTCACAGGCTGCTTCTCTGTGCTTGGCTGATCCATAGGCAGTCCATCTCCTGAGCGGTCATGTGAAGCTATATGACTAATTATATACGATTCATTTGTAAAAACATCAACAAAATGTATGGGGCTTTCAAAAGGTCATACTGCATAGATCTTTAGTGCATGGATCACCCCAAGATGAACATATATATCCTCTTTTTGTTTTTTGCAGAGAAGGTTCTTCTATAAGGTGGGGTAGCCAACACAGGTGAAGCCACGCTCACAGAATCCCCGCCACTCTTCACCGACACTGTGTCGACAGGTGCTGCTGCTGGAAGCCGCATGGCCGCCTCCACCACTGGCGCAGGAAGACCACCTGCAAGCTTTTTGCATCTTGTCTATTGGGCTCTGGTGGTCTACGGGATTTGTGGGAATTGCGCCAGTTTTGTCAATGAAGGGACAACCAGCCTTCATGCTTGGAGAAGTCATCCCTTGGCTCGATATCCTCTGGCTCGACTTCGGGATCCTAAGCCACCAAGTGATTTGACCCTGCATTGGCCATGTTATAAAAAAGACATAAGATGTCATAAGTAATTTGTTGAAGTTGGGAAGAAAAGGAAGGTTTGGCCATGAAACAGAGGCATCCTCACTGCTCTCCCCATCCTCCATCTCTGAAGACGAGTCTGCAACAGCGCTCCCAGCACCTAGGGAAATTCGAAAAATGTTGCTTGCAATGTGTTCTTAAGATTTGGGCATGCCACCGCAAAATAAGAAGTGCATGTCAAATGGTGTTGCTTGCAAGGTGTTCTTAAGATTTGGGCATGCCCCCACAAACAATAAAAAGTGCATATCAAGTAGCGGGGGTCGGAAGGCAAGGGAATGTCAGCCTCTTTGAAAATCCTCCTGATGGCAAGCTCACGTGGATAGTGGCCACGCTTGCAGCACCGGGAGAAGATACTAACCAAGCGCTTGATGATCCAAGACTGGGTTCGAACATGTTCACCTGGGCTGCCCACATGCAGTGGCTAATCTTAGGAACTTCCATTCTAACATCCATAATTTTGTTGACCTGGTCAGTTTCGGTAAAAAAAATGAACCATCAGCGATCACAAGGGACTTTCATTGAAATTGTTGACAATGAAATTTCTCAAGAAGTATGTGGACATGTTTGGTGCTTTGAAGTGTTTCAAATCATCTAATTTTGGACAGGGAACGGCGGAAGGCAGGTTTCCCTCTGGGCCGTGAGTACTCAAAGAACAACTCCACATGTTCATTGATCTGGTCGATGGTTGTCCGCAATCCCAAATGCTTCAAGATTGGGGTGATGACTTGTTCGTTGGTCACTAAGTCCTCACGTGCCAAATGTTCATTGGGACACAGTACCAAACGTCCAGCTCCTGCTCTAGCTATAAGAGCGTCACTCTTGGCCCATTCCTCACAAACCGGTGAGCACATGGCTTCTCAAACTTAAGCCACACCCGGCACCCGTGGCAACCACTGAGCAAAACACTAACCTGCGGAAATTTGCAGAGTTATCCCAAAACATGTGGGTGATATGTAGGCAGCTCACCCCAGTCACAAACTTGCAAAAAAGGGGAGGTGGCAGGTGGTGCACCCGGAGGCTTCTATTGGTGCCTCTCAATCATGCATGTACCTGTGCGGCCAAGGTATGAACCCTTCACCCTGGAGACAAAGAACCGCGTACACATCACTGGACATACACTATACAAATCCTTGGGTGGAGGCGCACTTCAGGAAACAACCAGCAAGCAATTGGAGGACATTGGAGCCACAATAGCTACATAATCCCATAAATGCTCGAATGCAGGAAAAGTGCTCGAGACCCCAGAATGATCTTATATAATAGATAAGTGTATCGATTCCCAGATATTTGTTCGAATGACCAGGTCGACACAAATTAATGTTACGATGGAAGTCCCTGGGATGATAAACCCGAAGAGAATGCTGGGACCGACCACGGGTTTCAGAAAAAACTGGCTGGAGACGCTGCTCAAGAGATATATGGGCCAATTTTCCGGTTCACATTCACCAGCAAAAAATATCTTCAGCTTCAACATAGAAAGTCAACATTTTGTAGACCGAATTCTGCAGGTTTCTACAGATTTTTGGGGGAGTCTTCTAGAGGTCGTCAAGGCTGAAGGAATACCAGCAGTTCGGGGTGTTGGGGCTGCCAGTTCATTGACCGGTTCATGATCCTCCAAAAACCATAGACTAAATCATCAACCATCATTTCTCAATGAGATCCTTGATCACTGTGTACTTGATGGTTAAATCATGTTATATATAATATATCCATCATCATATTACTTCAGTTTGACCGATAAACCAAGCTAATTCAATATACCAAATCCCGATGAAATCCCCATTTTGCTTGGAATTAGTACGATTTATTCTTGATTTACCCTCTGGTTATTGAACATAGCCATGGAAAATTGCCCATTTATAGATGGTTTACCTATTAAAAATTGTGATTTTCCGTGGCTATGTCAGCCATAACCAGATGGTACCGTATCTTGCAAATTTACCGGGTCCACCAATCAACTGGACCTGGCCTCATGGCTGTTCCGCAGGAGTTCTCAGGATCGCGTTGCCAGAAACTGGGGTATTGATGCACCTGTGACAGGGAACATGTTTTTTTTTTTGCGTTTGTTTACCCTCTGGTAAACATACAAAAAACTATGGAAAATCACCTTTTAGAATGTCAGTTTTCCCATAGTTTTTTGTATGTTTACCAGGCCGGGTACCTGTAAAAGTCAACCATGGGATGATGTCAACTAACAGTTTTGTTCTATGGGTATATATGTCCAAAACAAGCGAGTTCAGTTGGATGAAAGTGATGAACCGCAAAATGGCATGATGATCCAGAACATATTGTCTCACTATTTTTGTGTTCTGGACTTGCCTTACAAACAAGAAAACCACATGCCTATTCTTGTCCATTGATCAAGTAGACAGCGAGAACCTTTAGGGTTCAACTAGCAACACATGGGTTTTGAAATCCTTGACAGCTAAAGCAGGTCCGGAAGTCTGTCACAGAAAGTTCATGTTCCACTCAAGGACCATGGGACTTCTTTAAGTTTGAGGGAACATACCTGGTTGAAACGCCCCAGAATTGATGGGAAAAATGAGAATACACACTTGTTTGGGGTCGAGTCAATTTTCCCGGGAACCAAATGTGAGAAGCAAAGGACGTTCTGATTGTCCTTTTACCCGTACATCTGAACCCCCACAGAAAGAAATGCAACTTGGCTCGTGAAAAGGCATGTGGACACTACATACACATGTCAAACGCAGATGTAGAATGGAAACAGGAAGATATGGAGGATTCATTCATCACTGATTACAGTAATATGAGAACTGACGAGAATCATGTTCATTTCCATCCTTCATAAACAACACTAATTCACCCACCCAGAGTATATGTGCAAGGTAATTATCCTAATCATACTCACAAACATGTATAGTATAGGATTACAAAGAAAGCCTGTGAACCAAGAGTTTTCAATTTCATAAACTCTTCTCCTTATATTTCAACCATCTACTGGACACATGTTCAAGCCCGAATAAGGAATTTAGTGTGTATTTCCTGTTCATGTTTAATATTCCCTATGGATCCAAGTACTTTCTTAGGAATGATTTGGGGGGTTAAACACCGACCTAAAGGAGGTGAACTAGGATCCATACAGTTATGGCCCCTAACAGTCATAAATGTATTTGTAACTCCTATAACTATAACTAAGGTTATGTAATATCATTATAAGCTGATAAAAAACATGTTTTTAGATGTTTTTAGGGCAATAACTGGACACGGATTCCTTAAAGATCTCCGATCTTCCCAAAACACAACGCGCCACCATGGCACGTCTCTGTCACGCAGGTACTCACCGTTGTACTCCGGATGCTGTCGGAGTCCTGACTGAAGTGGGTGGATGATGCTCGGGAACTCCGGTAACCAAAGGTAGCAATGGGAAATCCCCCAGTTATAAGTTGGTTTATAAGCCCCAGTAAATATAGTTATGAGTCCATAAACCATAGTTATTGGAGTTATAAACCAACTTAGCTATCTTGGGGACCTCACATTGTAGCAATGGGAAATTCCCATAAATGGAGGCTTTAATGGGAAAACCATATGTTACAAAACATCGCAAACCTATGCAAAGTCCCCATGCAAAATCGAATTCAAGGTGGTGTTCCCGAGTTATAACTTGGTTTGTAGCGCCATCCAACCATAGTTACTTCATGGTGTTTCATCACCATACACTGCAATTATATCAGGAAAATGAATCAACAAACATCCAACATTAATCAGATACATCAGATACATTCCCCCTGTTTGGTAATAAAAATCCTCTTGTTCATCACTTTCATTTGTTCATTGTTAAATCATTTTAAATCACCAGTTTCCCATAATTTATATTAGTTCCCCATATGTTTCCATATAAAAACCACACTTGTCATAAGTCATAAGATCCGACTGTTTTTTTCTCACTTGTTTGATGATTGAAAGCCACCATGTCCTCAAACCAGTGAAATCCCAATTTTCTTCCCCAAAAATCACCCAAAATTGGTCACAGTTTTCAATCACCATGTTCCCCACAAAATTCATCCAATCGTTTCCCGTATGTTCCCTGAAAAAAATATCAGTCAGTTGGGATGATGACATTCCCAATATATGGAAAAATAAAACATGTTCCAAACCACCAGCCAGCCTCAAATTGTTCCCTGATCAAATCCACATCCCTCATTTTTCATGACGCTAAATCAGCGACCGCTCCGCTCCTGAAATTCGCAAACTGCTGCTGTCCCACAGGTCGCATGCCAACACTGTGCGGGCTAAGGCGACGACGGCGACGACGCCAAGGGATAGCATGGCGGCAAAGAAATGGAGAGGAACTCAGGTTTCACATGCTGATTTCGTCTGTTTCAGTGGTTTACTGAATATGTCCTCAGTGATGTTTGAGGTTTAGTTGATCGTGATCGTGGCTTAGTGGACTGTTCTTAGTTTTGCTTCAAATTGTTGAGATTTCTGGCGACTGGGTGACATATGCAAGGTCGGATGCAAAAGGTAACATAATATCATTGCTTCGAATAGCGACTTCAAGGTTGGATGGGACCATCTTGATGCATCCCTTGATTTGCTGGGCATTCTTTGGCCAACTTGAAATGACAAAAACAATATGATGGGCCAGAAATCAACATCTAATGATATATATATATATATATGTCTATATATATAATATATTTTTTTTCCCCACGGTCCATTGTTGCAAGAAGCTGCGACCGGTGCGAACCAAAAATGATTTCTAGGTGGTGTCCCCCTATTTCGCGAAGTCTGTGCCAAGGTGGTCACTGTACTGGGCCATGTTCATAGCCCGCCACCTATGAAGGTTTTCCTGCGAAGGGGGTTCATGTTCCACCACCTCAAAGCCATCAATGCCGCTGCGGATTGCAGCAGCTAATGCACCGCAAAATGCGGGTGGATACTCCTTGAGGAAGCCAGTCCTCCAGTGACCGTCTTGGTCCAACCCGATTGCTTTCCCTTTGGGCAGCTCAGATCGCGTCATCCACTTCCGCAATTCCATGGCCAGGTCTGGCAGGTTGATGACTAACAGGTCTGTCGGTTTCGGAGAAGGGGCGCCAAAGAGTCCTTGTGCCAAGCGTCGTCGTGTCACGCCCGGAGCGGCGAGCAAGGCTTGGACAATTGGAAGTTTCCATATGGCTGCCGCATTCTCCTCCTCTGGCTCCGCCGGGTGCTCAACAATGCCAATCCCTCCAGTCTGGATCATCATGCATGCCAAAAGCAAAGTGAAGGTTAAAAGTTCATTTCCTGTAGCGATCTGAACGAGTTCCTTCAAAGCTAAGCTAGGCAGGCCCCAAAGATGTTCTGCTGTCCGGATGGTGCGCGGCGCACATCTGCTTGTTTGAGCGTCTGAAACCTTTTTGCCGCGGGCTCTTGACCACGTTTCACAAGGAGGACCCGCGAGGAAGCCCGCAATAAATCCATCCTGCGCCATGCGTAGCCAGTAAGCCCTCGTCTGCTCCGCGCTCGCGTCTCCCCACACAGGATCGATGACGATATCGACGCTGACGACGTGGAGCACATAGTCAGTGGGCGGTGCCATACGATCCAAATAAAACTGTAGATCTCCACGGCGTCTTCGTCCAGCAAAAAGGTGAAGAAAAACACGATGTTGACCAAAGGAGCTCGGTGGGCTGCAATGTGCACTCCAATCTGTCGCTGCGAAATCATTGCACTCACGTTCCAATTGCTCTCTATTCGTGCCTCCTCTGCTCCTCATGCCGTCAAGACCCCACTGCTCTGGTTGGCGTAGGACTCCCAGCTCTTGCCTCACTTGAGGTAAAGTGGCCTCCCAATGCTCAACGTCCGCATCAGTCAGCGAGTCCTCAAAGAAGAGCAGTGTGCGCGTCCAAAAAGTCCAGGAGGTAGGACGCTCCATCGCCAGTCTTTGGATCGTAGCAATCGCGTCCGGCAATGTCGGTGCATCAATACATATCTCCATGATGGCCATGTGGAGGTCATTATCGATGCCCGGGTCGCGTCGAAGCCTCGGTGGCTGTTGTTGAGGTCCTTCAAGGCGCAACGGCGGTAAAAGGCGATCGTGTTGTTCTTTTAGCCGTCGGTCATGGGTCGAACCAGCGCCTGGTTCAACGGCACATGTGTAATTCCGGCTTTGTAGAAGGGCTCTGCACCGCCGTGAGTAATAGAGGTGCGCCGTCACCTTCTCCATGGTGTGATATTCTTTAAGGCAGGCAGGGCAGCTTGTAGAGTCCACAAGACTGCGACGGCTGGCCTGATGTTGGTGCACTTTGAACATGTGTGCCGCTTCCCCTGCGTGTGTCCTGCAACGTTTGCGGCAGGTGAGACATCCAAAAGTCTCTGTGGGTTCAGCTTCAACTTCTGCATCATGTGGCTCGTAGTCAAACACGGCCCTGAGCCGGTGGATAGCAAGCGAGTGGAAGTGGAGCAAATGCCACTCGTTGCTCCTCTGGAGAATGGCATGTTCACAGGCCCGTCTGACCAGCTTCCGCCAATAGGTTCTATGATGTAGGATCAGGCTCTTCCAGGATGGCCATTGGTCGGCAGGGTTGCCGAGGTTGGAGCAATTGTGGATCTGCTTCCATAGCCAAGCCATGTCCTCCTCAACAAGGAGCGACCATTGTTTGTCTTGTTCCAGCAATCCCCACTCCTGTCTTGGTCCACTGTGAAGGAGCGTTGCCACATAGCGTAGTCGCGCTCTTCGCAGAAGCTCAAATGGGCTAGGGAGCTTCACCTGGGCCAATACTTCAAGGTCATGAAGATGGTGGTCATGAGATACAGGTAGAAGTCTCCTGTAGAGCCTGATAGTGGCCGCATGAAAATACTTCTCTGCTTTGTCATCCGTCACTACCCAGGTGTCAGCGCCATAGAGCAGTTTGCTGAGAATCAGTGCCTCAAAAATTTGCGTCCGCTTCTTCAATGGGATCGCCCAGTTGCGGAAAACTTGTTTTGAGTGCTTGGTCATGGCTGCATTCGCGATGGCAAGTCTGCGTTTGATCTCAACCTGCTGCTCGGCAACGTGGTGGAGAATGCCTCCAAGGTGGCAGTAGCGCGATGCAACAGGTACCTGGAATGTACCGTACTCGCACACAATGGGGATACTCCCTGAAGCCTGTGGTCCATAGAGCTCCTTTTTGTATTTTCGCGATGCCTCCCCTCGAAGGGAGAAAAGGATCTCGGTCTTGTTGGGCTGGAGGTTGGGAGTCATGCAGTGTTCCATACAGAGTTCTAAGAGACGACCGGTTGCAAGCGTCGCTCTTTGAATCGTCTGCGCCGGATTGCATCCTTCAACGCATACACAAAGGTCGTCCATCCACGTGGGCCCAATGAACGGCTCATAGACAGCTGCCACTGGGTGCTCGTTGTCAAATAACATGAGCGTGGGTCGCTGTCTGAATTCGCTAATGATGCCCTGGTTCTGCATGAATGTTTGCAGCTTTCTCAAAACAACTGCCCAAACATAACTGAAGATGACATCTGCGAATGGGTCGCCAGGTCTGGAGCCATGCGACGTTTGCACGATGTCGTGCTGTCGATGCATCCAGAAAAAGGTCTGCGAATGCACAGCTCTGATGCCGCGCCTTTGTTGTGGTGTCATGCCCGCTTGCTCCAACGCACAAGGGTCTCTCAGCAGCCGATGTAGGTCTGCCAATGCTTCAGCCGGCATCTTCAGTCTTTGCATGAGTTGGGCAATGGCTTGGTCAGTCACCGTACCCTCCATGCAGATTGGCCGGAAGATCCTGTAAAATGCTTCCTTCAGATCGAGCATGATAAGCGCACAAGAGTGTCCGCAATGTTGTGCTTGACGGTGAAATGCACGGACTAAATGAACACCATATGTGACTGGCATTGCTCGTCTGCCCCCAAGCTGTTGTGCTTGGAGGAATCCCTCAAAGATATGAGCTTGTGAACATCTCATGGCCCGGTGCAGCGATTTGCCAATGTGGCTGGATATCAACAGCGATCTGTAAGAGCTACATTTGGTGACCGCACCCTTTCCTTTGTACGCTTGCACCAGTAAACCTCCCTTGTACTGCAGCGCCTCGTGGCCAAAAAGAAGAAGCTTCCAGAGGGATGAATATGTTGCTCTGGCGCACGCGGCTGGTGCGATGTGGCACAGTTCACCAGGGACTCGATCCGGTCCAGTAGCCTTACCAGATGCCACACGTCGGTACGCCAGCTCAAGGTCTGCGAGCGTCGGCAGGTCGGCGACTTGCAGCTTGAAAGGGATTGCCTGTTCCACACTCAAGTCGCGCACCCAGTCCGCATGGAGCTCCTCAATGCTTTGTCGTTTGCCGCCTTCCATGTCAGCAAAGAATCGAATCCAGACTTGCAAAGCTTCTTCAGGCGTACTGCAGATCTCTCCGTCCTCTCTTTCCAGCATTGGCAGTGTTCCCTTCTTCTGCTTCTTAGGATTGGTCGGTCCAATGAAGCATTTCAGGATACGCAAGATGCTGGACGCTGCTGTGTGTTCGTTGACCTGTTCCAGGCACTTCTGCATGTGTTTGGCCTTGGTCTGTTTCAATTTGCAACGAAGTCGTTGGCGTTGTGCCCGAAGTTGGGCAAGGAGTCGAAGTGCATCACATCTCAACGTGGTGCCATATTGGAAAAGTTCATGTTGGTCAGGGGGCTCACGCTGTTGCTTCCATGCAATGAAAACATGCCATAGCGACTCCCTTCCGAGTCGTTGCCTGACCTGCTTCAATTTCTTTTGTGAAGAAAGCATCTGACGTCGAGCCTCCCAAATTTCATCGTCGATGTAGCATTTTTTGGGTCTGTGCTTACTGTGGCGCTGTTGTCGCAGGAGATTTGCAACTTGTAGGCTGAAGTCTTTCTCTTGCGTCTCCACATCTGTTTCCCATGTTGGGATACTGACTTGTTGCATTTTCTCCCGAATGAGCTTCTTGGTGGTTTCGAGGTGCCAAGCAACCGTCGGCATGGAATCTGGCTGCGGTCCTTCCTCACATTGATGCCACCAACGTAGCTCGAGCCCAACAGCTTGATGGTCTTGTCTCATTGTGGCTAAGTCAAAATCCTGCAGAACTTCCGACCATGTACAGTGTGACTTCCATGCTTGTGGCACTGCGACATAGTCGATGCAATATGTTGTGTCTCCTCCAGGCCTCATCCATGTGTCACGGCTTCCTCGATGGACACTAGAGGTTGAAGGAAGGCACATATTGAACTTGCGGAGACATTCCCGAAAAAGGATGGTGTTGGCAGAGGTTCGCAGACCCGTGCTGAAGATAATCGAATCTTCTGCAGGACCCGGCTCTGCATTGGCATCCAACAGCCAGAAACAGTTGGAAGTTGCTCCAGTGCG